GGGACGGCGCCCCCACCTGGAGTCACTGCAGACTCCACCAGAGTCACCACTGGATCAGCCATACTGGGGCTTCAGAAAAGAGAAAAATAAAACAAACAAACAAAAAGACGCGGTGAGCGGTCCTCAGGAAGCACACGGTCCTGACTGAGGTGACAGACGTTCTTCGTTCTCCTCGGTGCAGTGGGTTCCTCCTCCTCCTCCTCCTCCTGCTCCTCCTCCTGTTCTGTTCTCCCTCACTCTCTTTTACACCCGCTCTGATTTAGCTCTGGGACAAACACGGCTATCTTTAGTAACACCAGACCAGCTGGTCCTGACACAGAACAAAGAACAACACAGGCACCAGGTGAGGTCCGTACCAGCGACCAGCCTCTGGTTTCTACACTGACTCAAGCTCATCAACAGGATTTGATCTAGAACCTAAAAAAAAAAAATAAACAAAAGAACATCTAAGACAGAAGCAGGTCGTGACCCCCGTGTCCAAAACAGGTCCAACATGACTCAAACTTCTTTTCTCTCCAGTCTCAGTCACAACATTTGGTGACTTTTCTGTGGCCTGAGGCACAGGGGGCGCTAGTGTCTGTAGGGAGGTGGAGTCTGAACACTCCTGAGGTTCACAGGTTAGCGTCATCATGACAAAGGTGGCCCAGGATTAGATTAGATTAGATTAGCAGATGTCAACAATCAAATTAGCCAGGTTAGCCAGGACAGCTACATGTTAGCCTGAGTGACAAAACCAGATGCACCTTCCTGTCTGCGAGTACCGACCAACTCTGCTGCAAGTCCAGGATAACGTGGAGACGTGTCACACACACACAAGCCCCCATCCCCCCCCCGCCCCCCACGTACCGTCTGCTCCTTTCCTCCAGTCCATTTGTCCTGTGATCAGCACCAGGGTGGAACCACCGAACAAACTGTCCTTTCCTCCACTCTGAAACGCTGCTCTCCAGGATTATGTAACCCGGCCCCTCCCTCAGGGTTCCTAAAACCCAGGTTTGAATTCTTCTGATGCAGATAATTCCAGTTCAGTGAAGAGAATACAAAAACAATGGCTTCACTACAACTACTGAGCTAGGCTAATATTAGCCTAGCTCCTGGTCGGTGTTAATGTTGTCAAACGTTTTAAAATGAGCCTCTAATCCTTCTATTTAATTAAATGACCAGATTAAAAGCCAACAGTTTTAGACACCGATCATAGGAGAACCAGAACCAGAGTGAGGTCCAAAAAAAAAAAATTAAAAATATTAGGAAAAGGAGTTCCAAATCTGATCAAAGAGAGAGTCGATAACACACCAGGACTTTCACTGATAAGAAACAGTAGAAAACAGACCCACAGTCATTTTAAAAATAAAGCTCCAACATTTTTTAAAAACATGGTGAACCACATAGTTTAACAGGTTTGTAATGTATCATAGCAACAGTGAACTGGTGAATTAGACTTCACTTTTAATGAACAATTGCACAATTAAGTAACCGTTCTGTGGACTGACAGTAAGTAGTACACGCGTGTACTTCACAGTCGGCGTTGGGAGTGGTCCAAAATACAAACGAACATTTCGTTCCCTTGATTTTTCTAACTATCAGAACGCCCTTTGATCCATGACACATGAACACGTGAACCTCCAGGAGTCCGACCTGCACCGGTCGGTCACATGCAGTTATTCACTTTGCCACAAGGGCTACGAAAAAATAAATAAAACTGGTATAAACGTCCACAGACTGCAGGGACTGACTGGAGTATCTGGTATCAGCGGTCGACACCAGGGCTAACGCTAACACTGCTAACACTGCTAACTCTGTGTGTGTGTGTGTGTGTGTACACTGTGGCCTTTAAAGGACAGAGTGTTCTCAAACATCGTTCTAGAACACGTCTCCTATAGACTGTCCACACACACACTAAGCCACGTGTGGCTGTGGGTGTGTGCGAGTGTGTAAAGGGGGGGGCGGGGTGGACACACTCAGTCAGAACTGTAAAGAACAAATGGGAGAATCTGATATTTAATCGACCAGTCTTTGGCACAAACGGTTCAGACACGGGGGGGGGGGGCAAGAACCTAATCAATCCACAATCTTTAGTGTTCTTGAACTGGAACACAAACACCAACGGTCACTAATCTGCCTGGAATATTACAAAGATATTCACGACAGCCACGATTCGATTAAAAAAAAACCCCGCTAAAAAAAAAATACAGGTAAAATAGGGATTATAAAATTAATATAAAAACCCACAGAAACACCCAAAGTCACACAAGGCCCATTCTCGGCAGCAATATACACATATTCGCCTCAAAAATCGACAACAACACTGCTCTCCCTGGTCGCCATCTTCCAGACCCAAGCCCCGCCCACCAATCAAACTGACACGTGAACTCTCTACGAGGGGGCGGGGACCAACAGTCACGGAGACGAGCGTACACACACACACACACAGACGCGTTCGTGCTGCCGCTGCTGTTAGAGACCGAGTCCAGAGGACAAACCTCCGTTTGGAAAAAAGCACAGACCGCGAGACTAAAGTGTCCAATTCACTGTCTGTTTCACTCACACCTGAGGCGCCGTCCCAGCGGGACACAGCCGGAGCCCGGGGCTCCAGAACAAGCTCGGACGTGCGCCTCACTTTGGTCCTCCATCATTTTATTGACAGGATAATGACAGATTTTAGTGTTTGATGCCGTTCCACCTCAGATAGAGCCGCGAGCTACAGAAACACGGAGGTGAGGGATAAGCCGCGGATCCGGCAGATTAATGGCGGCCCCAGAAACAACAGCAACAACAGCAGATGCTGCTTTAAACCGAGCGACTGATAACGTTCATATTTTAAAACGCTGTGAGGAGTGATGACGTCATCTTATCGGACGACAGACGCAGGTTGACTATATTATTTTGACAGATATTAGCGGCAGCAGTGGACGAGCAGCAGCGTGACGTACCTTTAGCTTTCCCCTGAGCTTTAGCTGCGTTTTTCTTGGGCGCCATTATCGGACGTCTCTCCAGAAAGAGGAGGCGGATGAAAAAGAGGAGTCGAGGAGCTGTTTCTGTGGCTGAAAGGAACTCCTGATTCCTTCTCCTGCCTCATAAAAGTCACCACGGGCACAAAACACGGCCCTCTGTGATGACTGAAGGTTCCCTCCGCCAATGAAGGCTGCGTGACGTCAGGCCAAGGAGGTGCGGTACAATTTGTGTCGACCAATGGACGTCGAGAGGCGTCACAGGCCTTTATTCAACCGTGTGGACCATCGTCAACAGACCACGCCCCCTCCCGGAGATCCTCTGGAACGTGGCAACCTGAGGCCCCGCCCACATTGTAACAACACAACTCACATGAGGACCCACACAAAAACAGACACACACTCGTTACGCAACGTTCTTTCAACGCGCACGTTGTGCACGGAGCCTTTTAACTGCTGACTCAACAGTGACGACACTTTACTGCGTTTTAATCGTTTATTTAATCCCTTCTTATCGTAATACGTCACCATCAGAACATTTTCATAGCAGGAACTGAAAGGTTCAGCACCGACTGTCTGTGTTCACACCGAGGTTCAAACATCTGGACCACATCAAACAAAATACTGGGCCACATAATGAATGAGACCCACACATTTAGCCCAGTTTCTAGCCTCATCTGCTCGTCTGTTCACAGGAATATCATATGAAAACGCTGGAATGTGACTTTAAAGATCTTTGTCAGAAACACACAACTATCACCACACACACACACACACACTGCAGACGATTTGGTTATATTTAGTTTTCTGTTGATGACCGAGGGAGGGGGGGTAAAGGGGGGGTGGACTTTCACAAGGTGTTTATTTACATTTACATTGACACAATCACTTTGGTGGAGTAACGCTGGGGGCGCGGGGGGGGGGGTCAGTGATCCAATCATAGATGACAACAGAATGTTATTAGTGTGTGTGTGTGAGAGAGACCTGGTCACAGCTGGTGGACTGCTGTGGTCACGGCCAGTCTTTACAATGTTTGTTTGTTTTAGATTTAATCACTGAGAACAGCTCTGATCCGGGGTGGGGGGGTCTGGGGGGGACACCGTCCTTGAAATGTTGTTATATTCCTTTAAAGCACTGGGGAGTTCTCCAAATATAAAAGAGTGTACTGCTGGTGGAAGTCGAGCTCCCTCTAGTGTTGGGCTGTTGTTTTTGCGCCTGTTGTCAATTCACTTCCTGGTAAAATAACGGTTAAATAAAAACAAACAAACAAACAAACAAAACAAACAAACTGCCGTTGCTGATACAGTATCAACTGTTGTAACCAACCAACCAATCAAAACAGGCCCTGCTGGTCCACGTTGTCCTTCCTCTCAGCGTGGTCTGGTGGGCTAACAGGTGGGGCCCCCTGGAGGATGACATAAGACGACTATCAGCAGGTGGACTCGCTGCAGTACAGGACAGGACGTGTCTCTGATAAGGGCTGTGTACAGTCTCTGTGGGTCAAAGGTCAAGAATGGTCGACTGTTACAGTAGCGCCTTCAGAATTAGCTGTTCCAGGTCAACACTGCCACCTACCTGGTGAATGTTGTAATCTCCTTGGGATAATTACTAGACCAGAGCCAATAGTACTTTATTATCAGTAGTAGTAATAGTAGTAGTAGTAGTAGTAGTAGTAGTAGTAATGGTATTACACCGACTGAACAAAGTTAGTGAAACACATTTCTTCCGGTCAATACTTTTACAATAATCCACTCTGGATGTTTGATTCTCTCACGTTGTTTTTAATGTGTCTCTTACTTTTCTTAAAAGGTTCTTTCAGCGACCGCAGCAGTTTGGTGCAGCATTTTCTCTCGTCCCGTGTCTCCCTCTTGTGGCCGTTTTGGGTAATTTCCCCATCTGTCCGCTTGATGGAGCCCGGCGGGTGCAGCTGTGGTTTTGCTGGGAAGATAAAGATCACTTGTCATTTCTAAATAATTAGTGAAATAATAACCACACTGCTGCTGAACTTCCACGGTGCAGGATGAATAAAGTCTGATCTTATCTCTTACCTTATTTAACCAAAAGCTAATGCTAACAGTCAGCAGTTCCACCATGTGACCAGCAGCTGTGATGTTGCTCCAGGCCGTTCAGGAACAGTTGGGTAATATTTAGCTGACCGACTGTTTACTCTGCTCAGAGACAGACTCGACACTGAAGCACATCGAGTCAACAAAGACGTGAACTTTAATCGGCCCGTTAGACAGACTAACTGAACTAATCCAAATTAAAACAAAGGTCAAGGTCATCAAGGCCTCGCAGTGACCAACAGACCGAGAGGTCAGCTGACTTTTGATTTGGTCTGGACAGGACTTCTGTGTCTATAGAAAATAAATAAATAAATAATGTAACTTGTAACCTGTGAAGACATGACCCGGCACCAAGTCTTGGTCTGGGCCCCTCTGGTTGAGCACCACTGACTTAGATGATACTGAGCCGAGCGAATCCAATGAGCTTGACGTGATCGGCCTTTTCCGACTTGTCCACACCTGACACCAGTTTGAAGGTCAGGTCTTTGTTGAGTTCAGGATTGTCAACAATCTTTTGCAGGTTTGCAGCAATAACCACAAAGTCCCTACCGTCCACTAGGGAGGCCAACACCAACTCCTGAGTCACCCCATTGGCCGAGTCTTTCCCAGGCATGAACTCGAACTGAATGTCATTGAGTTCCTTCTTGGCGTTCCTGAGTCTCAGGAGGAATCTCATGGGACCGTCGGAGCCGGCCGGACCAGTGGCTACATGCGAAGGATTTTCTGGGGTCGGAGCGCCCCCAGCTGGCTGCTCTGCACTCAGACGGCTGCCACATGCTACACAGCTGTTCTCCAACAACCAAGACGTGGCTCCCTCTGCTGGTAGGTCAATGGCGTTGTTCAGGGTCTCATCCTTCTGCGCTACCAGAGCTTGGACCCCCTTCATCTCGTCTCCCGGCTCATCATCACTCCACTCCCAGCTGTTGTCCTGCGTCCTTGGAGGGTAGTTACTGGATCCCGGCGCACAACACTGGGTTTTCGAGGGCCATTTGCGACGAAGCTTCTCCTTCAAATACTTGTTGTTCATAGCTTTGGTGAAGAACTTGTGTTTGGCCAACTCTGCCGCCGTCGGCCTTTTCTCCGGATCCTTCTGTAGACACAGGGCGATCATTTGCCTGAAGGTCTTACTGTACTTCTTCACCATTTCCTTGTCTCTGATGCCCGTCTCCAGACAGGGGGGGTCATGGTGCACAGTGTACATCATCACCTTCATCGGTGGAAATTTGGAATACGGTGTGGCCCCTGTGGCCAGTTCAATCGCCGTTATTCCAAAACTCCAGATGTCGGCCTTGAAGTCGTAGCCTCGATCGTGCTCCATGACTTCGGGGGCCATCCAGCACAGCGTCCCCACAAATGTCTTTCGGACCTTGTCCCTCGTCATGTCCCCCTTAGTCGCCAAAACTGCACACACGCCAAAATCGGCAATTGCAACAGAGCCATCTTCTCCGAGAAGAATGTTCCCCGCCTTCAGATCCCGGTGGATCTGCCCATGTTTGTGGAGGTAGTCCAGCCCCTCCAGGACCTCCTTCAGGATGGTGGCGATGCTCTCCTCGTCAAACACTCCGCTGTCGTGCTCGCCCCGAGAGATGACGTGTTTGATGATGTCCAACACGGACCCGCCGCTGAGGAGCTTCATCACCAGCCACAGCTCGTCCTTGACCACGAAGGAGGTCAGGTAGGACACGATGTTGGGATGGTGACACTGGCTCAGAGACTGGATCTCTTTGTGGAGCACTTCCATGCTGGTCCCACACTCCAGGTTGAAGCGTTTGATGGCCACCTTCTCCTTCCTGGGCTTGCAGAAGGCCGCGTACACGAACGCAGAGGCTCCTCTTCCCAGCACCTCGTGGACTTCGTAGTCGTCTCTGTTGGTTGACCAGGACTGAGAGGTCTGTTCTTCCGCCATGACATTGTTGTTTGACGGTGGAAACCAAACACCTGAAGATGATGTTGATGTTTTCTAGTCAGTGATTGTGTTCCAATACTGCCATCTTCTGGATCAAGTCTTCCTCTTTCTTTCATTATAGACGCCGGGACATGACCACCTGATCTAACGATGGCTGCTGCCTTTGATCTACTGACGCCATATGAGATCAAAGCCAGGTGAGTTCTTTGCTCTCGTCAGTGTTGAGGACCTGGTCCTGGTCCTGGTCCAGTATCACAGGTGTTGGTACCAGATGCCGTGGTCTGGTCGCCATCTCAGTTCGGGTGAATTCGACTGCACCACCTGCGATACATGTTTATTACACCACACTAAACGGTTGTGTTTTGAAATAAATCGACTTCTCGTCCTGTCTGCGATTGTCTGTGTGGGACGGTCGTAACTTTTCCGACCCCTCCCCCAAAAGGTTGAACAACCTTCTACCTCTCAAAGCCCACAGCAGCTGTTAGCCTTAGCCTTGAGCCACTCTCAGCCGACGCTGGGCGGGGCACGACCGGAGGACCACGATGAGTCATCACTTATGAAGACAATACATCAAAGGCAGTTGAGATTCGATCAAAGGCAGCTCCTTGAGACCAAATGGACCAGAATTTAGGAAAACCACAAGCACAGGTGTCATGGCCGACGAGCAGCCCTCTCAGTCCTGGTCCAACGACAAGGATGACTACGAGGTGGGGGAGGTTATCGGGAGAGGTGCCTTCACCGTTGTCCACGCGGCCTACTGCAAGGCCACAAAGGAGAAGGTGGCCATCAAACGCATCAACCTGGAGGGTCAGACCTGTATGGATGCACTACAGACAGAGATCCAGTCTCTGAGCCAGTGCCGCCATCCCAACATCGTGTCCTACCTGACCTCCTTCCTGGTCAAGGACGAACTGTGGCTGGTGATGAAGCTCCTCAGCGGTGGGTCCGTGTTGGACATCATCAAACACATCATCTGTCGAGGCGAGCATCATAATGGAGTGTTGGACGAGGAGAGCATCGCCACCATCCTGAAGGAGGTCCTGAAGGGGCTGGACTACCTCCACCAGAAGAACGGACAAACCCACTTGAACTTGAAGGCGGGGAACATTCTTCTAGGGGACGATGGGTCCGTGCAAATTGATGACTTCCGGATAAGCGCCTTTCTAGCAACAGGGGGTGCTGTTAAGAGGCACAAAGTCAAGAAGACGTTTGTGGGGACACTGTGTTGGATGGCCCCAGAGGTCATGGAGCTGGTGTGTGTCTACGACCTCAAGGCCGACATCTGGAGTTTTGGAATAACTGCCATTGAACTTGCCACGGGGGCACCACCATACCACAACCTGCAGCCTAAGAAGGTCCCAAAGTTGATTTTACAGAAGGACCCCCCCAGTCTGGAGACGGGCGTCACAGACACGACCATGGTGAAGAACTACAGCGAGTCCTTCAGGCACATGATCTCCCTGTGTTTACAGAAAGACCCTGAACTGCGGCCCACGGCTGCCCAGCTGCTGGAACACGAGTTCTTCACAAGAGCCGTGGACAACAGGTTCCTGCAGGAGAAGCTTCTACTGACGGGTCCCACCGTACCAGAGCACTGCGTTCCCAGCCTGAGCGGCACCCACCACGGGACGGAGGCCAGCTCCTGGGAGTGGAGCGACGACGAGCCGGAAGACGACAGTGAGGAGGAAGGGCGGAGGGAGGAGGAGAACGCTGCGGCAGACTCCCCCAAGAGTGAGGAGCAAACAGGTGAGGACCCTCCCACACAAACAGAGAGTCCACCACACTCACCCGTACCGCAGGATCCGGCGTTAGCCTGCGATGACGCTGCCATCAGCCTCATCCTCAGACTCCGGAACTCCAAGGAGGAACTGGTGGACATCCGGTTCCAGTTCCTCCCCAGCAGTGACACGGCCAACGGCGTCTCTCAGGAGTTGGTTTTGGCCGGACTGTTGGACGGCAGGGACTTTGTCATTGTTGCTGCAAACCTGCAGAAGGTTGTTGACGACCCTCAAGTCAACAAAGACCTGACCTTCAAACTGGTGTCTGCGGCGGGGGCGTCTGAAATCCCTGATTGCGATAAACTGATTGGGTTCGCTCATCTCAGTGTCGGCTGACGACGGCGCAGCGCACCCTGGAGGTCTTTTAGAGAAGCTAACATTCTATCGATGTGCTGTAGGATCAGGTTTCATTAGACACTGGAGAGTAGAAGCTCCAGAAGATCTCAACATTGAGTTCCAGCAACCGATGCTTTGATACTAGTGGTTTTCATGTAGGAACAGAACTAGGACCAGGATTCTACAGATCTTGGGTCAAAACACGCGTCTCCAGCCAAAGACAAATGAAACAACAACAGTCTGTGAGACTGCACTGACGGCCTGGTGGTCAAACGGAAGCAGTTGTTGCATCACCGTCAGTTAGCTGTGGTTCTGATGAGCCGCAGGTTAAATCCGACTCGTTCCGTCTACGCACCGTTACATTACACAAGCGTAGCCCGTTGAAATGTGAAGTTGCGCGCCCGGGTTCCGTCCGTAGACAGAACCACGACTCGTTCTGGTAGAAGTCGGTCTTTGAAGACGGCTTCGTCTACAACATCAATAAACGTTGAACTATTTCAGACAGTAGACAGGTTCACAGACGTCTGTAGAACCGCAGGTTGGTCTCCATCGCCAGCTTGACCTTTTCACCTCTTTAAACCCTTTTCTGTTTCTGACACCTTCTAAACAGGCACCTTTTTTCCTCCACAGGTGGAGATTCTGACACCTTCTAACCAGGCACCTTTTTTCCTCCACAGGTGGATGGAGGTCAGACGAGGCTGGTGACGACGCCGCTGCTCCACTGTGTGAAACTCTGATTTTTGAATTTCAGAAAAGTTATTAATTAAAAATGTAGAAACAACTGTTACAGAACACAGGACTGTTTCTTTTTTTTAAATTGTTTTATAAATGTGTGGAAAAAAAGGATCCTGGAAATAAGGTCAAAGGTCAACAGCAGGTTAAGGTCCACAGTTCAGGACAAAACCAACAATAAACCATTGGAGAACCTTGAATCAGTCACGTGACGTCCATCACGCTGGTCACATGTCCAGTCCCAGGACACCCCTGGACCTCAGGTCCACGACGGCGGGGGTCGATCGGAGGTCATCCAGTATCTGTGGTCCTATCAGGCCTGGGTCGACCAGTCCACGTGGGATTGATCCCAAGAGCGGTCTAAGAGAATGTTTCACCAGAATAACTGGTACGGGTCAAAGGTCAGCACTAACTGGTCCACGTCCTGGTGTCCTGGTGTCAGTGCAGCTGCTGGGTCGGGGGAGACTGGTACCAGTCTGTGACAGGGCAGAGCAGCAGAGATGCTGAAGGATAACAGTTAGCTTTAGCTAAGAGATAGCCAACACACAAAGTATAAAACCTCTCACAGGTTAGCCAAGAAAGAGGAAGAGGCTAGGAAACGACAAGAAACATTTACAGGAAAATTAGGTAAAAAAAAAAAATCTGAAATCTCTGGCTAACAGATTTAAAAAGAAGAATCAGTAAATTGTGATGATGAGGAATGGTGTGTTGTCCAGCAGGTCTTTGATCAGGAGATGACTGGCTTTAGCCTTGAGATAAGTCACAGCTAAAGGTTAGCTAAAGAGAGACAAAAAAATGTTTTCCCCTGAAAGCCGTTTTGATGTCTGAAGATGTAACAGCTGATGATCAACTGGAGTCTCACAGTTGAGGACTGCCTCTAGAGGGCGCCACAGTAGGTCCACGTTAACAAAAACAAAACAAAAGCACCTTGACGGCGAGGGCTCATCCGTCTGAGAACGGTTCTTCCTGTGTCCCGTCCAATCTGAGGCAGTCTTCAGGAGCCACGGCCACATCCGCCGTGGGGTGGACGGAGATCTGCTGCAGGAGCCGCTCTGACTGGAGCAGGTGATTGGTCCAGTGGCCACAGGCCTCCTCTATCCCAAGACCCTCGCCTCCGTACTCTGGAGGCAGGACGTCCGGTGAGAAGAAGTCGCTCAGAGTGTCGTGGAAGTCCGCGCCGTGCATGTGGATCTGCCGACGACACCAGAACTTTATGGTAGCTAACAGAAGCTAGCTACGCTTTAGCTAAAGGATGAGAAGTGTTAGCTGATACTGACAACGTAATGTCGCTAAAGAAATCACATAAAAAGCATAAATAATAGCGCTAACCCTCTGTTTTATCTTCTCGGGCAGGAAAGGTCGGATCATGGCGAAGACGGGTCGGAAGAAGATGGGCTCGTTGACCAGGTGGATTCCCCGAACCTTCAGTGGAAACGAGTCCTGTGGTGAAACCCAGAAAGGTTAGCTCAGGTGGAACCTTCTAGACCAGTGGTTCTCACGTACCACGGTTTGAGAACCACTGTTCTAGACCTTCCCGTTCACTCGGACTCTTCAGACAAGACCTACCGACAGAACAGAGGAGATCATTCTGCCCAGGGAGGGGTTAATCTGCAGGGCGTGTCCCAGGCTCCACCCACTCAGGTCGAAGATGACTTTCAAGCCCCGCCTCTGCGTCTGCGTCTCCATGGAGATAAGTTCTGACGTCATCAGGCTGACCCTAAAGACCTGGAAGGCCGACCAGTCCTTGGGGTTCCACTGGCCTGGAGTTGGACGGACAGACGGGGACAGAGGTCAGCAGATGGACACGGTTCTACTTCTAATACCAGCCGTCGTTCCACTCGGCACTGACCGATCCTGTAGACCAGGACTCTGCTGCCGGCGTGATCCCTCCGCGGCAGGACGGTGTGATAAGACGAGGCCAAGAGTCCCAGGACGGAGGACGGAGACAGACAGCCGCTGATCTCTGGACTGTCCTTCCTCCACCGCTGGTAGTTCAACACCAGCTGCAACAACAACAACAATCAACGTTCAGGTGTTTGACCATCACCTACAGGGGGCGTCGCCTTCAGACCACGGACGCTCCAAACTGCTGAAAAATAAGACAAACTAAATAACAGTGTGACCAGTCAGGCGCCCCCTAATGGTTCAACCATGCACTGTCCTGTCAACAGGTCTTCAATGAAATTCCAGCAGTTTGGGGCCTCTGATGTTTTCTTTGCACATTCGCCACCTAGTGTCTGAATTTAATACAACATGAAGCAGGTTCTAAACCAGAACGTCTGAAAACTCTGGACTCAAATGAACCAACCGTCAGGTCACGATGGGACTGATGTTAAACCTAGGTCTAAAGGTCACAGAGGTCAAAGTCACCTGTGTGTGACGAGAGAATCCAGTCGTTAAACAAACTCACTGAAAATCAACAGATTTCACTTTTAGATTATTTTAACTTTATTCCCTGAGTCCCAGTTCTAAAACCCTGGTACCCCCCCCTTTACTGACCCCCCCTCCCCCCATGACCATACAGATGATAGCTGAGCTGATCCAATGACAGATCAGTGTTTCTACATCACTGAAGTGTTTTTGTCCCAGCGTCACTGATGTAATCAGTTTAAGGAACTGACACAGAACAGATGTGGTCAGACCTGATTTCTCAAACTCCACTGCAACATCGCGACAAAAAAACAAAAAAACAAAAAAACAATAGTCCAAAATGTAATAATAATAAAAACACAATAAATCAATAAATGAATTAATCACTAACAATAACTGGGCAACTTAATTAGTAAATATAAAAACATTGAGTCAACCTAAAAAAAAGCTACTTAACAGATTGGTACGAGCTAAGCTAGCTAGAAATAAAGTACTGAAAAAAAAAAAAAGACCTTAAAATAGAAGGGAAAAATAAAAAGCCCTAAAAAAATAGTTAAATGTTGGTATAACTTTAAGTGATTTAAGGTACCATTATTGGGCCGCGGGCCTTATGATGATGATTGTTGTTGTTATTGTTGTTATGTATGTGTTTATAAAGTATGAACCAGTGTTCAGAAAAATAACATGGAATCGACGTCATTATTAATGAGTTCATACTTTTAAAACCTACAACAAGTAAACAAGTAAAACTTTTCTTCTACAGAAAACACACACACACACACACACACGCGCACACACACACCTTCAGCGACTGCTAACTGTCGAAGTCTCTGGCCCGCAGGAACCTGATGAGGAAGCCGTCAGACAGCGTCCTGACAGCGGGGAGCTCCTGCAGCGCTCGCCGCCTCAGCTCACTCACGGGCGGCCGCAGCTGCGGAGCCTCGTCCGGGAGTTCGCTGAGCTCGGGCCCGTTCATGTCGCTCCGTGGTCCTGTTACACTGCACTACTGCACGGGGGCAGGAGCAGGAGGGGCAAGCGCAGGGGTGAGAGTGAGCAATAGGTCATTTTGAAATTTTTTTTTTTTCTAACTTAAAGGAACAGTGCAGAGGCTCTCCAACACCACCAGGGGACGTTAGCTCCCGCCCCCGATCCTCGGTCTAGTACATAGTGCAACTCCAACTGTAACGACAACATTGACCAGTAGTGGGCGTCGTTCCATAATGATCAGATCAGTTACAGAATTTGTCATTACGCCAACAAGTGGAAAGATTTTAAATTCAAAAACATGAATCAACAGAAAAAAAAAAATAAAGAAAAGTCTGTCTGTTTCCATTTATCTCCCAGCGCAGTTACAACATTCACCAGCAGAGGGCAGGGTTGCACCACAGACAACTCTGCAGTGTGGAGACATCAAGCCATTCACTCACGTTCACACCTGTGGTCAGGTCCATCCACACTCTGGTCTGGAACCTGTGACGAAGACGAAGGAAAACAGGAAGACGCAGAGTCACTTTATATGTTGGAACTGTTTTTACTGGAAAACTGTAACAGAAACTGGTGCCACAACGGCCACAGCACAGTCGCCGAGCTCACCGCGCCGCCAGAACCAACCAAACAGGAAGTACACGACACCGTCAGCTCTGACTCGATGGAACTAAAACCAGACGTGAAGTTCTGGGTGACAACATGAGGAGCGCGGTCCAGGCTGAGGTCCTGCTGCGTTTGTGAGCACGTTGATCCTCAGCTCATTAAGAATCTTCTTTTCAGAGTCAATTCTTCCACAAAAAAAAAAAAAAAAAAAAGACGTGGATGATTGTACCGTCAGCATGGCTTCTTCAGGTGTCGAATAAAACTGGACCAGGGTCCAGGTCCTGGAGGGGACCCCACACAGACGATCTGTCGGACTGGGGGATGATGACGGGGCCTTGGGTGTGTGTGTGTGTGTGTGTGTGTGTGTGTGATCAGAAGGCTAACAGCTAACGCCTGTTTCTGACCTCACCTAAAAATCCTCTTCATTATTTCATAAAATCTGTCACAATCACATGGCACAAGTCGAATGTTAGCTAGCTGAATGATAGTTAAACACAGCGTTAAAGACGGCGACGACACCAACAAAGCTAGGCTAAGCTAAAATTAGCACGGTAGCAGGTTAGCTAGCTGAAGACAGCAGACAAATGAATGGAATAAACCTAAGAGACAGCGGTAACAATTAAAATGGTAATTATAACAAAAGTGAATGTAAGTAAAAGAACCAAATCAATTAACGGTTAGTTGTTGTTGTTTTTGCTTATGAACGGTTAGCGAAATAGTTAACTTGCTAAAGTAAAAGTGAAAGCTTAAAAAAAGTTTGAAATGAATCCCATTAGGAAAACGAGTCTTTGAATTCAGTTTATCTTTGTTTGCCAAGAAAACAAACAAACAAACCAAAAGTTTGAACACAATTTCTGAGCCACAGAAACTTGGTTTAAATATTTAAAAGGTTGAAGGTGGAGTTAAACGTGGAGTCAAACGTGGAGTTAAACGTGGAGTTAAACGTTAGCCACAGCATGAGTGAAAGGTAAATAAAAGTCACGTTTCTTTGCTAACAGAAAACATTAAAAAGTAGCCTAGCATGGCTAATGTTAGCCAAAAATAAAGGAACAAATATTTCTCAAGGAGTAAGCCGCCAGGTCCCAAACAGGGTGCTTGTGCCCCCTGATGGACATGACAAGGACTTACAAGAACATGGTGGTCGAGGAAGGAAGAGGGAATTTTATCTTCCAGAAAAATAGGAATGAAACAGGAGTCTACGTTAGAAGAGGGATTTATTTTGGCCTGCAAAATAGTCAGGATGTCCAGGGGACACCTCGAGTTCGGGGGTCGGGGGGTGGGGGGGGTGAGGGGGTGGAACTAAAATCCTCAGAACGTCACTTCACCTCCTCAACAGAAACAGAAACAGCTGCTGCTGCTGCTCAGTATTTCTGACTCAAATATAAAGTAGACAGAACTGAAATACAGCGGAAAATTGTTTAGCTTCAGTTTGTGCCCCCCCCCCCCCCCACAGGAAACTAACAAAGCTGTTTTTTTTTTTTTTCATTTTCAAGTTCAATGATGCAGTGGAGCGCCCTCTGCTGAACTGCAGTGAATGTGTCTAGGGTGTGTGGTCATAGTCTGACTGGTACGACTGAAAAGCAGAGTTGGAGTTTAGTGCAAAGTTCATCAAAATAAGGAGCAAAAGAAAAACAATCAAACAAAAACCCTGAACTGTCCCTTTAAGGCTGGCTCCAGGGACTTCTGCTGGACCTCAGACGGTCTGTGGAATGTCATGTTACATCAGGGCTCACCACCGGGGACAGAGTGAGGAAAAAACAAAACACAAAAACCTTTTCTCTGTTTGGACTAAAACAGAGACAACAACTGGTCCACACGGGGACGGGAGACGTCAACACAGTGGACAGAGACGGGGGGGGACGGGGGAGGGGGACTGACCATCCTGGTGTCTGGGAGTTTGTACGTGAGGTCCATTGTCTTCACCTTTATTTTCCCCACAGACTCAGACGTTCGTAGGAATGTTGTGGTGGAGCGTCCAATCAGAGCACAGAGACACCAGAGCCGACCTTCAGAACCACGGAGGTCCAGGAGTGGCTGTGTTTGAGGGTGACAGACAGGCCTCCACCCACGTGTTGATCCTCACCTCCATGGTTTTGTATCAGGGAGAACTGAGAATTCCTGTCCAGCGGTTTTAAAAACTCTCTCCAAACATTTGATCAGGGTTTTAGGAAACGAGATAAAAAGAAATCCTTCTTCAAACCACCTGACCCGGTGGACCAGCGGGGTCACGACCCGGTGGACCAGCGGGGTCACGACCCGGTGGATCAGCGGGGTCACGACCCGGCTACACCACTGATGGAAAAGTTCTGTCTCAGCCTGAGTCCTGCTGCTGTTCCATGGTTTCA